ATACCTAAACCAGAAAAAGATACTTCTGAGGTAAACACGATTAAAGTTTTTTTATTTAAAAAAAAAAAAATTTCCCTAATGTCAATCAGCGATGCCGGCAACATACAAAATCTCTTCAATCTTTTTAAAAATTTGATTTTCTTCCACTCAAACATCGTAAAATAATATAGTTATAGTAGTCCGATCACTTTGAAATTGTAACACAATACTTTTAGATATAAATCAGTGAATTATTTTAGTGAGTGACCATTTATATTTTTTTCTATGTAAACATTTTTTTTGCCGTGATAATTATAATTACAAGGCATGTAAAAATACCCTGATAACCACAGTTTCAGACCAACCAAGTTGGTGTCAGATAGTTGCCACCAACTTACCGACAACTTGCGGTCAACTTCCGAATTTGAAACTGTTGGCGTCAAGTTGGCTACAAGTTTCTGAGAAAAACAAGACCAATCTACTGCCGCAATATGTCGCCAAATTTCTCGAGAAACTTGTCGTCAACTTGGTGCGAAAGAGTTTCGAAAACAATTTTTGCCGACAACTTGGTGAACAACCGAGTTCATTTCCAAGACTTGCCGCCAACTTGGTGACAAGTTGCGGCAGCAAATCGACGGAAAGTTGCGACCGGTTTGGCTATCAGGGATAGTGTACAAGACGTATGTTTTTACGTTTATACTTATGACAATGTAACGGAGTGATCGTTACTCGGTAAATTCCCCATTTCGGTACCTAGTTAGTTATCGACTGCTCACAGTGCGCTGTGATCTAAAGCTCGTTTAGAGCTAGTGAGAAAGGCCCCGAGGTGGAGAAGCTAGCGTAGTGGTAGTGGGGAGAGTAGAGGAAACAAGAAAGGTTGAGCGCATTTGGTAAGACTCATTGTGAGTATTGTGACCAGAGTGGCTCGACTGGACGACACGCAGATTTTCTAAAACATCCAGCTAAGGTAAATATTTTTATTCTGCTTGTCCAACGTGGAACCAAGCGATAATATTTTGTTAATTTATTGCTTGCTAGGCCGCCTGCCAGCTTGCGTAAATTAATCTTAATTGGTAATATTTTCTAATGCTGATTTGCGGTTACAGGCGTAATAAATAACCAGAGGGCGAGTGACGGTGACGAGAGATTGCCGCCAAATCGAGAATACCTGACCGAGGATAATTCACACCAGTACCCGAAGACGAGGAGTTGCAGCTCACTGTTGGAGTGCAGATAAAATTATAAGAATACTCCAGGTACAAATAACGAGTCTCAATTATTCCTCGGATCTGCGGCATCAGCCAGGCAACACGTCGGCTGAAGGTCACCACCATTTCGTGCTCAGTCACAATCATTTAATAATTTAGTTAGTTTATTTTAAGTATCGTTCAGAAATAGTTTATTTATTTAGAATCAGATTTAACATCAGATTTAATATTAATATTGGACGAATTATAAAACAATTAATTAATAATACTAGGACAGTTTCGAGTTATTAATTAATTTGTTTAGGAAAAGTAACTGGTCTCTGTTATTACGTATTTTACAAGTAGGCCTGTCTGGGTTGATAATACTAGGCATTAAGTCGGGTTATTAATTCCAGATTTTCGCCATGTGTAAAATTTATTTAATTGAGAATTGATAGACAATAATTTGGCTTAAGCCAATAGAAAATAGAATTGAGTAAACCGTAAAAGTACGATTGTTTAAGTTAAAATTTATTCCGATCGAAAGTTATTTGTATAAATTATTTGGCGCATTAATTAATAATTGTTTTAATTTAAATTAAACGTAGAGTCAGGAAATAGTTATTAAATCAATAGAATTGTCAATCTAAATTAATTAGTCAAGAAAATAGAGAATATAAAATTTGTAAAAATTTCATCAGAAAAAAAAATTACTTGAGTCCTGCGACAAAGACGCTAGACCGAGCGAGAGCGTCAGCCATCTTATCCGTGCGAGAAAACGCTGAGTAGAGGACACACAAGGTCGCAGCTAAAGTCTCTTAGTCATTGAAATAGAATAAACTCGAGTAAAATAAAATGTTTTGTAAATTCTGGAAGTTGAGTTTTAGGAAAATACAAAATAAATTACAATAGAATAATCTCATGTCTAAATTTAACTTTTGCGTCGAAGAATAAATCTAGTAAAGTTACCGCCGATACTGGGTAAAATAAAATAACTCGGAATAAATTAATTTGGATCGGATTAAATAATGTACGAAATTTAAGTTTACTCGAACCGGAATTTATTTAAGTTTGCTAAAACAAAGATCAAATTTAATTCATAAATTACTCGGATAAAATGGATTTAGTCCTGGCTATTTTGAAATTTAAATTTAGATAATTACTGTTGAGTAATTGAGATACGACAGTAATTTAGGCGATAAGAAATTGTTAATTGTATTTGAAATTCGGAAAATGATAACCGGAATTTTGGAAAATTTAATTAGATAAATAATATTATGGAAATTGTTTTATTTTGTAATTCGAGCGCTCTTATTATTATTGTTAATGAGGAATTGGTATGTAGTTGTGTTTGTGTGAGCGTAAAGAGACTATCCAGCCTCGGGTAGTTCTCTCAGAGTAGCGTGAAGTTTGGGGGACAGCATGCGCTGTGTGGACAACGTGTGCAGTCACGTCAGAGGTCCAGCTCAGTGGCGTGAGAGTCCGTGAGACCGCGCGAACTAAGTTAGAGTAGCGTTAGAGGTTCAGGGGACGGCGCGAAGTCAATAGAGTACCGTGAGAGTCCAGTAGGCATCGGGGACTGCAACCACGTGAGGGTCTAGCTGGACAGCGAGAAATATACCGAATGAGTGTGAGTGTGAGTGTGGATTTGTATCCATGAAATTTTATATATTGTAATACTGGCCATATTTCAATTGTAAGAGGGATTGGATAAATAAATAATTTTTGTTAAATGAATTTCTGTGTCTCAATCCTAGTTTCCTTTCAGCAAATCTCTCATGACCCTGACCTAGCACTCCATGTTCTGGTCCAGTTCTGGATACTGAGAACAAAAATCCAGTGGCGCTCTTAAGAGTAAAAGGGGCGACCAAGGGAAACATAACATCGCGTTTCAACAATAAGATCTAACCTGTTCATAGTCATGACTATGCGTGCACGCCGAGTGTAATATTACGTGGCATAACCAGAAAAATTACTTGGCCAAATCGGAGATTATACTGAGTATATTACAAAAATAATTTTGTATAATCTGCAGTATATTTGATATTATCTGAAATTTTTTTTCACCACAGATATCAATGAGTATAATATGACAGGATATCTAGTGTATTTTTGTTCTTTCCGTGTACGTACTTTTAAAAAATTAAAAAAAAAAATTTCTTGTTCGAAATCACAAACTAGAATGATCTCTTAAGGACGTTCATCGGCAAGAAAAAGACACCAATAAGTTATAGCTATTAGTTTTTATCTTAGGCACTAGTGCTGCCTCTCTTTACAGACTAGCGCTCATTTACTTTTACTCACGAACAATACCGAAAGTCACTAACTTCAAACATTTTTTATAAAAAAATAAATACCGCTCGTTTATGTTATTTTTGATAAAAAATACTTGTTATTTCTTCAATTAATGAATCTCAATTTTTTAAAACAATCCTAAGAAAAGTACGATCGTGATGTTTAATAAAACGTTCACTTGAACGTCGTTCAGCATAGGGTTTGTATGTAAAATATACAATTGCACGACTCATGATGCGAAGCATCAGAGAGTGCTTTACGATCGAAAATTTTTTTTCACCCCATTTTGGCAACTATTTTTAGTATTATAGCCTTGTTATAACACTATAGTTCACGAAATCAAGATATTTTGTATACTATTGTCGAGATAATTTAATGGAGATTAATTCCATACTTGCTAAAAATTACTTTAGTGCAATAGAAACGGAAAAAAATATCGAAATAGGTCAAAAAATTTTCCTGTCCGTCATGTATGAAACTCTGGAAACACTGTAACTTGTGAAAAAATCAATTATTTAAGTTAAATTGTTTTTTTTTTTTTAAATTCTAATCGACAATTGTAGGTCACTGAATGCGAATGGCTAATTAATTCAGTTTCTTTTAATTACAATTATTAAAAAACGAAAACTACAAGACTGTATACCTATATATATCCATGTAAAATAACATGGATGGTGATATATCTATATCTATCGATATTATGTACATTTATTCCACCAGAGGCGCTTGTGCAGTACATTCCTAGTACAGCTGTTTTTTCGGCAACTAATTTTCAACGACTTATGTTTTAATTTATTTTTTAAGTCAAAAAATTGTCAGTTATCTCCTTTTTTTTTTTTTTTTTTTTAATTTTATAATTAAATGAGCATTAAGAGTCGTGCACTTTTGGATTTTCCAAACTTTTTTTTAAATGCTAATATTTCAAAATTTAGTGCCGCAAGGACTATTTAAAAAAAATTCCTGTGTATAGAGGATACTTATGAGTATAAGTACTCAATAATTTAAGAAAACAGGTTTTTCACGGAACGTCCTTAAATTAAGAAATTTTTCTGGACTAAATAATTATTTATGATCATTAATTATTAATAAAGTTTTAATTTTTTCGATCAACGTTTTCTTCTCCATTGAATTTTATCAATTGATTAAAATAAATTTCTAATATTATAACAGTTCGTTTGGTATGATTCCTCCTCCAATAAAGTAAAATCCTAAATAATCGACTGGTGTTAGCATTTGAAATTCCCTCATGCATGATTTCACGAATATACTCAATAAATATAGATATATATGTTTTACAATAATATTGAACAGTTGTACTTTAAACTTACTTATCAATTATAATGAATGACGTGTAAAAATTCTAATTTAGTGATATCGTTTCACAATCTCTGCTAATTATTCATTATTATTAAATACTGGATAATAGTTATTACAAAACTGGGAGTAAAAATCTATTTTTTATGATTAGTTAAACTAAAAGTTTATATTAGCAGAGTTCGTGTTAATCTGTCAACTCCAATAAAATATAATTAAATTATAATGAAGGACGGTAATCAAATTATGGCAGAGTCCCTAAAACAACAGGTATACTCACTTTAATAAATTATTTACATGAGTTGTTTCGGGTATAGTGGACAGTTTCTCAATAATTAAGTAAATTACTTATTATTTAATAGGTTAAATTATAATTAATATTGTTGCTATAAAAATTTGAAAATTTCGAATAATAATAACAATAATAAATTTGTCAGTCAAGATTTTTTAAACAATTTATCATTATTAGCATAAAAATTTGCCAAAACTATCAAATAATAATTATAAAAATAATAATAATAATAATGGTAATGATTTATTTTAATAATCTTAACTAAGGCTCGATTTTTTTTCTCAAATTAACAAAAAATTTTCAAATATTTAAGTCTTAAAGAATGAAAATCTTTTTTTAAATATTGTAAAAAATTTTCAACATAAATTTTTCTGAGTATATAGTTATAAATAATTATCTTATTTATGAAATAATAGTAATAAACTTTGAAATTTTTAAAAACACTTTAATTTAAAAATTTTTTCTTTAATGCTAAAGTTTAAAGTTACTTTTACATTTCTAAAAATCAGATGTCTGTTAATTTTTTTGAAACCGATAAAATTTAAAATTAGACACATTTATTTATAATAATACTAAAATCAATAGACCTCTTACAAAAAATTATAAAATTTTTATTTAAAGTTTTATAGTGACAAAATATATTTTTTAATTCTACACATACACGGAAAGAACAAGATGATACTGAATATCATCCCAAATTATACTGAGTCAAAAAAAATTTCAGATAGTAGCTACCCTGAATAAAAAAAAGTATTGAGACAAAGAAAAAAGTATTGAAAAGTATTGGATTGACTAGAAAACCAATACTTTTCAATACTTTTTTTTATCAGGGCTAGTATAATGCAGATTACATTGAGTATTGCCCAGATTACACCATAGATATCACTGAGTATAATTTGGGATGACATACAGTGTTATCTTGTTTTTTCCGTGTATACATTAAAAAAATTATCAATTCAATTTTCTTCAAATATTTAAAATAAAGTTAAAAATTGTCAGATATCTGTATCATAATCTAATAATAATAATACCATCAAACAATTAAATTTATCTAACAATATCTCATTAATAATAAATAACTAATTAAATTTTTGCAGGGACTGACATACGTCTTCGGTATAATGGGTCATCCGGTAATTGAATTAGCAATGTCACTCCAAGCTAATGGATTAAAATACCTCGGATTTAGGAACGAGCAGGCCGCCTGTTATGCTGCCCAAGCCTACGGCTATTTAACGAGTAATTAACTTTCACGATAAAACAATAGCATTAAAAAGCAAATTCAATAAATTAAAATAAATAATGCTTACCTAGCACACAACCAAATGATTAATTAATTGAAATAAACGTTTTCAGGAAAGCCAGCAGTTGTTTTATGTGTTTCCGGGCCGGGATTGCTGCACGTCACCGGTGGGATGGCGAATGCCCAGATTAATTGCTGGTAATAAACAATTACTCGGTTCTACTTCAACCCATTGAATGTCAATTAACTCTACAACATAAACTTTTCTTGGGTAAAAGGCCGTTGATTGTTCTAGCAGGATCATGTCCAGAAGACCACGAAGGAATTGGTGGATTCCAAGAATACCCGCAGGTAGAAGCTTCCAGACCGTACTGTAAATATGCAGCCAGACCTCCGTCAGCGGGACTTATTCCACAGCATGTTGAAAAAGCTGTCAGGTTGTCGACGTATGGGAGACCTGGAGTCGCGTTCCTTGATTTGCCGGCGACTTTGCTCAAGGAACAGGTCGAAGAAAATAAAATTGTTGAAGTTTTAAGATGTCCGGATCCACCCATTGCTTTTCCGGATCCAAGTCTTGTTGATGAGGCTGCTGAGCTACTGGCTAATGCAGCTCGTCCTTTGGTGATTATTGGAAAAGGTTCTGTAAATTTATTATAATTATTATTGAAGTTTTGAAAAATAATTTTAAGTTAATATTTTTTCAATTTTATTGAAATATTTAATTAATTAAAATTTAATGACACTAAAATTTAGACATCTAAAATATTTAAAAATTTTTTTTTAAAAATAATTTATTGTAAAAAAAATATTTAAAAAGTTTCAAATTTTTTGATTCATTAAGTAATTTTTTTAAAAATATTTTCTTAATACTAAATTTCTTAACCAATGATCATATATTTACAGATGTCTCATTTTATAAACATGATTATTATTACTAGCAACTATGCGACTGTCGAGGTTTACAGATTATGAATAAAAAAAACTTTGGCTTAATGATTTTTGTATGTCTCGGATCACATTATAAATAGTTTAGGTACTTTTTAAATAAATTTTAAAAATAGTAGTGCTATCACAGGATCAATTACAAATAATTTAATGGACAAATGAGACGAAACATATCGAGGGTTTTCTAACGCAACCACGTATCTCGATTTTTGAAGATAAAAGGGTTCAACTGAAAAATTAATAATTAATTATAAACGCGTTACTGAAAAAAAATATTAACCAGATTAATAATAAATACGATAGTATTTTTAGAAAATACAATTGATAAATATTGTTTTTAGATGAATATTAATTTTTTATAAGGTATTTTTCACCTCATCTCTAAAATTGTCATTTTTGAGATACGAGGTTGCATTAGAAAACCATCGATATTTGTAGAACCAACAAACTATTGAAAAAACCAAAAATAACATAAAAAATTGACCATCACTGAAAAATATATAAAACCGTGAAAAGGCACTAATTCTTATCAAGACCTTTCTGATGTTACCAAATTTAATTATAAAAATTCCTTTAAAAATAATAATATGTTTGTCACAAAATTTTCTTTACTTTCTCAATAATTTAAGTTATAAATGACTATGGCTTAAAAAAATCAAACCCAATTTACGATAAAGATTTACCCGTTACAAAATTTTTCTTAGTTTCTGAATTATATAAATTAATTTTTGACATAAGATAAAAGACCCAGTTATTGACACTTGTAATTTTATTTTAATTAAAAAAAAAAAACAAATCAACTCTAATAAATTAATGAATATAATTTTTGAATTATAAATTTTAAGATAATTGGTTTTTTGAGAACATTTTATTTTTTTAATTAGAATAAAATTGCAAGTGTCAAACAACTAGGCCAGTGTCAATAACTGGGCTTTTACCTTATAACCACATTCAATCACAAAACAAAATAAATAAATAAACAAATTTTGTTTATCGTGAAATTTCAATCTATTTATGATTATTTCAAAAATTTATAATAAATAAACTATTGCTGAAAAGCAGATGAAACATTGAAAAGGCACAAATTCGGGTCTTGACCTTTCCAATGATACTAAATTTAAGGGGGAACACCACTGTGACGATCGAAAAAAAGAGGTGGTTTTCGGGAATTTTTTTGACAGAGAAAATAAAGGAATTTGGGGATCGAATTTTTTTTTTATTCTATTAAAGGTACATTAAAAATTATTACCCAAAATTTTTATTAAAAAATATTTAATTATTACAAAGTTATTAACAATCTCGTAGAGCACTAGAAAAAATTTCTCCCTCCATGGTCGGTTCGATAACTCAAAAACGGATCATCTGAAAATAAAAACCTAAATTGCTTTTTAATCAGTAGGGATGTAGTTATTGACGCACGCACGGAATTTTGAAAATTTTAATTTAAAAAAATATGGCGAGTAATTGAAAATTTTCTCACTATTCTTACTGTTTTTTTTTTGCTTTAACCCGACTAAAAAATCTTTAAAATAAAAATTTTTTAAATTCCGTACGTGCGACGATAACTACATCCTTACTGATTAAAAAGTAATTTGGATTTTTATTTCAGATGAAAATCTTTAAAATAAAAATTTTTTAAATTCCGTACGTGCGACGATAACTACATCCTTACTGATTAAAAAGCAATTTGGGTTTTTATTTTCAGATAATCCATTTTTGAGTTATCGAACCGACCATGGAGGGGGAAATTTTTTCTAGTGCTCTACGAGATTGTTAATAACTTTGTAATAATTAAATATTTTTTAATAAAAATTTTGGGTAATAAGTTTTAATGTACCCTTAATAGAATAAAAAAAATCCGATCCCCAAATTCCTTTATTTTCCCTGTCAAAAAAATTCCTGAAAATCACCTCTTTTTTTCGATCGTCACAGTGGTGTTCTCCCTTAATTTTAAAAAACTCATTTTATCATATAACTACATCAGGGACAACATTTGTCTTTTTTTCTCTTAATTATGTAGATTATGATTTTTTTTTAGGCGCAGCATATTGTAGGGCAGAAAATGAATTAAATAACTTAATAAAATCAACAAATTTACCATTTCTACCAACACCAATGGGCAAAGGAGTCATTGATGACAATGACAATCACTGTGTAGCAAGTGCAAGGACTACTGCACTGCTAGAAGCCGATGTAATTTTACTCGCAGGCGCTAGACTCAACTGGATGTTGCACTTTGGACGGCCACCGCGTTTTGATCCCCAAGTTAAAGTTATTCAGGTAACTTCAAAGTCTAAAAAATGTAAAAATTTATAGTTTAAAATTAAATTCTAAAATGATAGAAAATTTTAATATTAAATTATTACTAATTTTTTATTTTTAATAAAATTAGGTAGAAATCTGTGCGGAAGAACTCCACAATTCAATACCATCCAGAGTAGCGATCCAAGCAGACATTAAACCAACAATCGACTTACTTACTTCATCCCTTAAAAAACGAGGGTTTCATTTAAATAAATTGAGCGACTGGTGGTCTAAATTAGAATCCAACGGAGAGAAGAATAAAAAAGTCGTTGAATTAATGTCCAGAGACACTTCTGTCCCATTAAATTACTACGTAGTTTTTAAAAATATCCAAGAGATTATTCCCAAAGGTCTCTTTACATAAATTGCTCTTAAAAATTTTCCACTTATAATTATAAATTATAAATTACAATTAAAATTATGTAAAAATTTTTTTTTTAGATTGTATCATCTGCTCAGAGGGTGCTAACACCATGGATATAGGTCGGACTATTTTAGCCAACGGCAAACCTCGGCATAGACTTGACGCTGGAACTTTTGGGACTATGGGAGTTGGTCTAGGTTACGCTATAGCTGCTGCATTGTACTGCAAAGAGAGTGAGCCTGATAAAAAAGTGCTGTGTGTTGAAGGTGACAGTGCTTTTGGATTCTCTGCCATGGAAATAGAGACTATGTTTAGGTACAAGCTGCCTGTGATTATAATAGTTATTAATAATAACGGTATTTATGGAGGACTTGAAAAAGAAGCTTTCCAGCAAGTTCAAGGTCTAGGTGAACCAACTGATGTGTAAGTTAAATTATTTATTAATTAATAAAATCAACTTTTTTTTTTAATTTTCAATTTTTATAGCTAGAAGTTTAAAATATTCTATTTTTAATACAGAAAGTTAGAAAATAAAATTGAAAATTCTTCTTATACACGCTCTTTTGACTTCAAGAATTTTTTTTTTCTTAATGCTCCAATTTTTTTTTGCTCCAATCACCTTAGAAATGTTACGAATGTAAAAATTAAAAAAAAATTATTGAAGCCAAAAAGAACGTATCTCAAGCGTCACAAAAAAATATTGGCTTTTTGGTATTTTACTCAACAAGAAGTCAAAAATTAATAATCGTCAATTTAAATTCCACAAAACATTAACAAACAAAATTTTTAGCGCTTGGGAAATAAAAAAAAATTTTTATTTTATTTCATAATTTTTTTTTTTTTTTTTTTAACTGAACGTTTTGAACTTCTGATTATAACAATTAAAGTAATCGGAAAAAATAGACCTGGAAAAAATTCTAAAGTTATGAATAATTCATATTATTTCATTAACACTATTATAAAATAAAATTATAATAATAATAATTGTATCACACCCACAATTTTCCTGAAAAACAAGCACCCCCAGAATGATCGCTCCATTTTTTGTTACAAAAAAAAATATTATTATCATTATTATTATTATTATTATTATGATTTTTATTTTATAATAATTTTAATGAAATAATATGAATTTTTCATAACTTTAAAATTTTTTCCTGGATTCAAGAATTAAAAATGAAACAAAAAGACTCTTGAGACGCCAAAATGTCGAAATTAAAAAAAAAAGTTAATTTATCAAAACTCACCTAATTTCAATAATTTTCAATTTTCGTAGCCACAAGTTGAAAACGTTTTTCAAAGTTAGAAAATATAAATTAATTTTTTTTTATAAACGCTCTTTTGAGTTTAAAATTTTTTTTTCTTTTTTTTTATTGTTAAAAGTTGATTAGAGAAAAAAAAATTTTTTATACGACCTTTTGGCATTAGTAACCCGAAATAAATAGCAATAAAGAATGATTCATTATTTAGGACCCCGCCGTTTTGCTTGACGGCTGAAACTCACTATGAAAACATGATGAATCTATTCGGAAAAAAAGGATATTTCTGTAGGACTGTTGATGATATCAAAACAGCAGTCTCAAGTGCATTGAAGGTGAATAGAATTTTCATTTCTTAAACTAAAAAAAAATTTATTATTCATGATTCTGAAATTAAAAAACATCTGATGATTTTTTTAACTAAATTACAAAAAAAAAAAAAAATTCCACATTTAGATGTAAAAAATTATGATTGCAATTTTCTTTCATTTTTTTCTAGATCTAGTTTATTTGTCAGATAAAATCCAAAAATTATTGAATGTCTGCGAATTTCAGTGTCATAAATATCCAATAGATATTAACGAATAAAATTTTTCAGGAAAAAGAGTCACCGAGCCTCATAAATATTATGATAAATCCTTCTGCTGATCGCAGAGCACAAAAATTTAACTGGCTAACGGAATCTAAATTATAAATTAATTATCTGTAATAATAATTATTATCAAAGATTTTTATTATTAATATAAATATATTTTAATAAAAAAATAAACTTATACAAAGATTATTATGAGCTTACGAAAAAATTACAATTACAAATCTTCCATAATTCCCATCAATTTTTGAGTCACAGCATCGATGGAAGACCTGAGCTCGTGATTACCTCCAACCTCATCCGAATCCTCTGCATCAAGAGTAACTTTTTTTCCAAGTTCCTGAGCTTGGTTAATTAATTTCTGATTGGCCTCGTTAGCTAATTTTCCCAGCTGCCCGTTAGAGTCAATCAGCTGGTTAATTAATTTAAATTCAGCTTTGCTGAAATAGGTTAATCATTTAATGTAGAGTAAAATTATGAAAGTAAGTTATTTAGTAAAAATTATTGCAGCAGACGTCAGAAAATTTGTTAAAATTTATAAATAATTTATTTATTGCAAAATGATTTTTAAATCAGCAAGCGTTTGACAGTTTTTAAATTTTTTTTATTTATTACATTATAATAACTAAAAAAATATTTGTTAAAAATTGCACTTATAGTTTTTCAAATCTTTTACATGTAAAATTTTAACTTCAATTTTTTGTAATAATTTTTTCAAAAGGAAAAATCGTAATAATTGTCAGATGTCTGCTAATTTTATTTTCATTATTGCAAAAATAATATTATCAAAAAAATGCACTCAGAAAGAAGATACTGAAATCAGCAAATTCGACATTTTTTTTTTCATTTTTATTAAAAATAAATTATGAAACAAAATATTTTTCAATAATTTATAATTTTCATTTTTTCAAATTTTTAGATATATAATTTTTGTATTAAAATTTTTATATAATAATTTAATTGTTACAAAAATTGACAGATGTCTATAAATTTCTGTTTTATCATAAAAATTTTTTTAAATTATTTCTGCAATTTTTTTACAATTGTTAAATTTAAAATTACTTATTAATTTTTTTTAATTATCTGTCTGCTACTTTTATACTCAAAATTATTGATCCTATTAATTAATTATTATAAATTACTTACATTTTTTTAGTCATCTCATTGATATTTTCAAGAACATTTTGAGTTTCTTGTTTCACTTCAAGGTCTGTCAATTGAGACATTGTTAACTTCTTATGATTATTAATAATTACTTAATTATAAATTTTTTAATGCATTAATTGTTTTTTAAGAACAACAACAACGATACTTTTCACCGGCAATGTTTGTTTACATTTTACGTTCTATTCAGAGTTTGACAGCGACAGAGCGGCAGAATTTGGAACTAATAAGAGCGCAAAAGTTTAAAAAATTATTTGCGACGACTATACCCGACGAGGTTATTGCTTGACATAACCTTGAATTAAAGTTGGATGTTGGAGTAAGTAACACGTGTGATTCGTGATTGTTTGTAAACAACAGCTAGAAAATGATATTTAAATTAAAATAAATAAAAATCAACAATCAAGTTTTAACAGAAGAAAACAATGGATAGTGAATTACCCAGCGAAAAAATGGTCACTGATCAAATTTTACCGTCACCTGACGTTGAAGAATCAAAAATTGTTGACAGCTTAGATTTGCCGACCCAAGTCAATGATGAGTCTGAAATAAACAATAGTGAAAAAACAGGTCAGACAATTTATGAAAATTAATTTAGCAGATATTTGATGATTTTAAGAATTTTTGTACAGATAAATTATAAGGTAACTCAGTTATTCACACTGGACTAGTTGCTTGACATTTGTAATTTTATTCTAATTAAAAAATTAAATGTTCTTAAAAAACCAATTTAAAATTTATAATTCAAAAATGATATATTATTTAATTTATTAGTTGATTTATTTTTTTTTTAATTAAAATAAACTTGCAAGTGTCAATAACTAGGCCAGTGTCAATAACTGGGTCTTTTACCTTAGTAAAAAATGAAACAAAAAATTGACATGTAGAAATTTAAAAAAATTAAAAATGCAATTTTATAAGAATAATTTTTTGGAACTAATTTATTTGTTAAATAAAATTAAATAATGATCAAGTGACTGATAACTTTTATGCCATAGACAATTTTCATCTCTTTAAAGTTTAGTTACATATTAATGATGCTGAAATTAAAAAACATTGGTCAATTTTTTGAATTTTTATAAAAACTAAATAATCATGAAAAAATTATATTAAAAAAATTCCACATCTAGAAATTAAAAAAAAAAAAAATACAAGTGCAAATTTTTAAAGAATACTTCTTTTTTTTAATCAATTTTCAATAAAAATCAGTATAATTGTTGGATGTCTATTGATTTCAGTATCATACATATTATTTAAAAAAATTAATGTTAACTATAATTATCTAAAAACTAAATTACAGATGAACTGGCACCTGTAGAAGTAGAAGGAACTGAACCGAAGGATTCAGTAGAACTAAAACCTGAAGAAACTTCCCTCACTTCTCTAGAAAAAACAGACCAAGTGCCAGAGCCTTTAGAAGCTGAAAAGACTGAGGTAATAAACTTCTACGACTGGACCCAGATACCGCGGCTTATTTGCTCAGTTGCAGAAGAACCCGCGACTGAGTTGGAAAATCTGACTCGCGGATGTTCCTGGTCGCCGGATGGTACATGTCTTTTGGTACCGTCAGCTGATTTTAGGATCCGAGTCTATGAGCTGCCTCGAGAACTCTATTCAGGATCAATGCCGATAGAGTCTCTGGCTCCATTGAATCCAGCGTTTAAAGTTAAAGAGGGAGGTCTTGTTTATGATACTTGCTGGTACCCGTGGATGAGCTCTTGGGAGCCTGAAACTTGTTGCTTTCTCAGTACTAGTAAAGAAACTCCTATTCATTTATGGGATGCGTTTACAGGGAGTCTGCGTGCTACTTATCGAGCTTATAATCAGTAAGTTTACTTTTATTATTAATATTATAATTATTATCATAAAAAATTAAAATTGTTCAATAATAATAATAATTAGCAACCTGTGGTCACTATGCGACTGCCAAGTTTTACGGATTATGAATAAAAAAATTTTGGCTTAATGATTTTTTGATATTTCTTATTACACTATACATAGTTTGGGTACTTTTTAAATAAATTTAAAAAATAATAGAGCTGTCACAGGATCAATTACAAATGATTTAATGGACAAATGAGACGGAACAAATTTATAGAACCAACAAACTATCGAAAAATCCTCCAAAAACAACACAAAAAATTGACTATCACTAAAAAATATATAAAAAACCGTGAAAAGACATAAATTCTTGTCAAGACTTTTCTAATGTTACTAAATTTAATTATAAAAATTTCTTCAAAAATAATATGCTCATCACAAAATTTTCCTAACTCTCAATTATTTAAATTATAAATGACTATCGCTTAAAAAATATCAAACTCAATTTACGATAAAGATGTGCCCATTAAAAAATTTTTCTTAGTTTTTGTATTATATAAATCAATTTTTAACATATAACCACATTCATTTACAAAACAAAATAAATAAATAAACAAATTTTGTTTATCACAAAATTCGAATCTATTTATAACAATTTCGAAAATTTATCATAATAAATTAACTATATTGCTGAAAAGCAAATGAAACATTGAAAAAGTACTAATTCTGATCTTGCCCTTTCCAATGATACTAAATTTAATTTTTAAAAACTCATTTTATCACATAAATACATCAGAGACGGCATTTTTTTTCAGATAAATTCAAAATATTGTAGAACCAATTTAATAATAACTATATTTTTTTATAGTCAAAATGTATTCAATTTTTTTTCTTATAAAATTGTGAATCTTAATTTAAAAAAATGCAAAATTAAATAAATCTTTTTATTATTACTATTTTAAGTATTTTCTTTTCTTTTATTTATTGTAAAAGATCTAAATATCAACTTATATATTTTTCAGAGTTGATGAGGTCGAAGCAGCAGTTAGTGTACAATTTGCAGAGTCTGGTAGCGTTATATGGTCTGGATTTAACAACGTGCTACGATCCTTCGACACTAACAGACCAGGAAGACAAATAAACGATCTATTCTTAAAAAATGACTTTCCAAATACGCGTGGAATCATAAGTTGTATCCGTGATAATCCAGCGATGCCTGGGTTAATCGCTTTTGGCACTTACTCTAAATGCATTGGTAATTATCTAATTATTATTTACAATTAATATCGTTAATAAAAATTATTCATCATAACGCTGATAAAATTCAGAATTAAAAAAAAAAATAATAAAATGTTTTACTTTTTATTCAATAATAAATAGTACAAAAATTATTAATAATAATTAACAATAATTCTGATTATATATTTTGGAGTACCTAGATTTTTCTACTTGGATCATATTTTGCAATAATAATATTTGATTTAATATTCAAGATATTTTAAGATTTTTTAACTTTTAATTATAGATGATTTCTATAAATTTATTTTTTTATTAATGATCTTTATTTTTGGATTAATTAATACAATAATTTATATTTACTTTATAATATTAAATAAAAAGTAAAATATTTAATTTTAATCTTTTAAATCCTAAATTTTATTGATTTAAAAATTTAGCAATTAGAAAGAAAGTATTACTAATTATTTTTTAAATTTAGTAATGAGAGAGAAATTATAAGTAAATTTTCTAAAAAATAATTAAGGTAAAAGATCCAGTTATTGACACAGGTCTAGTTGTTTAACACTTGCAATTTTATTCTAATTACAAAAATAAAATGTTTTCAAAAAACCAATTATCTTAAAATTTATAACTCAAAAATTATATTTATTAATTTATTAGAGTTGATTTTTTTTTTTAATTAAAATAAAATTACAAGTGTCAATAACTAGGCCGGTTTCAATAATTGGGTCTTTTACCTTAATTAAAGCTAATGAAATCAACAAAAATACTATTAATGATGTTATCAATCATTTTTTATCATACTATTTATTGTGATTATTGATTAAAAATTCTAAAGAAAGTATCTAATTTATCTAGGATTATACAAAGATGGACCTCTGTGCGTCTTGAATACTGACAGCGGGGTAACCCAAATAGAATTCAGTCCTTGTGGTACCAAACTTTACTCAGCAGTAAGACGCAGCAACGAATTTATTTGCTGGGACTTACGCAACCCAGGAATCATCTTGAACTCATTTGAAAAACGACAAGCTGATACTAATCAGCGCATACAATTTTGCATCAACAACAATCAAATTATTTCGGGTGGTACTGATGGAGTAGCAAGAATTTGGACCCTCGATGACTCAACTGACACAGACCTCTGTCCTTCTTGGAGTGTTAAATTATCGGATGACTGTATCAATGGAGTCAGTGCTCACAAAACGCTGCCTATATTGGCGACTTGCTCTGGCCAGCGATTTTTGGACGAAAACAAGACTAGGGATAACAGCGTTAGACTTTGGTATTGTAAGTGATCAAATATTAAAAATTAAGGGGTCATTCTGGTTCCGGCGCTCGAAAAAAGCTAATATTCATGATTTATTTATACAGAAAGTATTATAGATATTAAAATGAAATTTATGCAGCTCAAAAAATACACTCTTGAATAACACTTAAAATATCTAAATTTATTTTTTTTTCATATTTTTTATATGAATAAATAACGGGTGAACAGAGTTCCTTGAAAATGTTCGTATAAAGCTGACTTACATGATTTTAATTTTGGGAATGGGACAACCCAGGGGACTGTTATTTCGGTGGTTTACGAATTTATAGCAAAAAAACCAAAATTTATTTCATTTTAGTTTTTAATGCTCCAAATAGAAATGTTTTTTTACTTTCGTAATAAATTTTTTTTAGTAACAAAATAACAATTTTTCTAATAAAAAAATGCCTGGGAAAGCAAAAAACATCCTTACAGAGAATCACCCATAAGTAGCTATTGCATCAGCTACAGAGATTAATATTTATTGATAAATAACAAAATGATGGACATTAAAAAAAAAAAAAAAAAAAAAAAAAAAAAAACTGAAAAATGAGTCCTAAAAAAAATAGCAAAAATAGAAATTTTGATCTGGTTGTAGCTGATGCAATAGCTACTATTATGTAGAATATGTGGTTTAAACTTCATTAAAATCGGGTCAGTGGTTCCGGAGATATCATTTACTTAAGCCAGAAAAACATACTTCTGAGGTAATCACGTTTAAAGTTTTTTTAATTAAAAAAATAAAATCTTACCTAAGTTCAATCAGCGATTCCAGCAATATACAAAATCTCTTCAGTCTTTTTAAAAATTTGATTTTCTTCCACTCAAACATCGCAAAATAATATAGTTATAGTGGTCCGATCACTTTGAAATTGTAACACAATATTTTTAGATATACCTACGTACTTTCAAAAAATGTAAAAAAAATTTATTTTAAACTTACAAACCAGAATGATCCATTAACTTACCAATTTAATTTAATCATGTGTCTAATAGTTTTATTTTAATATTCGTAGGTGGAACTGCAGCTCAAGACTAGATCAAAATCGATGTAATAAATAAAATCCAATACTTTAAATTGTAAATAACTAAATCTAAATAAAAATTACAAATTAGATATAAACATTTATTATAGAAAAAAAATTGCGCTTATGTCAATATCAAGTAAAGCAATAACTTGCTTTGAATATATTTATATAAAATTAATTTTACTTAAAGTAATTTATCATTAGTTATTAAAACAATAATTTTACAATAAGACTTAAAATTGCGCTTTTGACTTTTTCAGAAAATCATTAGTTGTTCTTAAATAAAAAAATCAATAAAATTAAGTCATTAAATTTTTAAATGTAAATACATATAATTTTATGTGAAAAATAATAATAAATATTAATATTAATTATAAACTAGGCACGTCCGTTAACAAGCCGTACACTCGTCAGAAATATTAAGCCTCATACTTCTCCTCGAAGATCTTCTACTGGGAGTAGTAGCGTTTTCCTTCTCCGCCAATTTATGACCTGACTTCCTCTTGGACGTCTTTACCGGGGATTCATTTTGGTTTTCCTTCTCTTTCTTAATCTGAGCCTTGGCAGCCCTGACATTCACACGACTGACATTGCTGAGTCCTCCTGTAGTATTCCCAAAGAGTTTCTGTATCAGCATCTTGGCAGCTTTTGACGGCTTATCAGCTTCTTGATTGGCCACTTTCTGAACAATCTCACCAACGTCAGTATTTTCTTGACAAATAGAAAAATTAACTTTAGTCAATGATTTATTGAGATCTTTCACTTCAGTTTTCTTTTTCTTCAGAATACTTTTCCCGGGAGTTTGATGGGAATTGATATAACTAATAGAACTATCCAACTGGACTTCTGGGGTTTTAACAGCCCGGCTCCTGAGAACTCTTCCCTCTGGAGTTTTATCAGCCGAGGCTTCAGCTTGGAGTTTCTTCTTTCTGGCTGCTTCAATAAAAGCCTTCATGTTACTCCTCCCTTGGACCTTTGGCTTGACAACCTTTTTGCCCTTTTTCTTGACCTCGACCACTGGAAGTTCCTCCTCATCTTCAACCCAGTTCTTCTCCTTCAGTTTCTCAACGTTCGCAAACCGATCATAGCAATTTTTAATCTCCGGCTCCATCATTTCCCAGAACCCACGAAGATCATCGCTCTTGACCAACAACTCCTGGTTGTTGGACTCGCAATCATCAACCAGCCGGCTGAACCTCCCGAATTTTTTTTTTATCAATAGCTCTGACTGGCCAATCGCCTGCTGGATAATAAAATATCCTTCCTCTCCTTGATTTTCGTCTCTTACTTTTTTCCACTCGTCACACAGAGCTTGCAATTTACTGGTCTCTTGCTCCAGCAAGTGCTTGTAGTATTTGGCAGTCTTGATATTATCCTCCCCAGATGTATTCAGCATTTGAACCGTATCTTTGGTGGGAATCTCTCCTCCGAAAGAATTGTTCAACAAGCGGTCTCGTTGCTCTTTCCGACCTCTGTTTCCTCGACCCGTAACTATATACGGAGACAACGCTGCCAGGAAAGGAATTCCTTTTTCATCATCAGCTTCACTTTTTGGTGTCGTAATTTCGGGCTCACTTAGTTGAGATTGGTCTGATTCAGGCTCTATCTCATCGTTTATGGTCTTTGGTCTCCTACCTCGCCGAGAAAGTTTTGCTTTTTTAGCTGGTGATTTTGAAAATTTATTTTCCGATTTTTCAGCCTCTTCTGGAGTATCAATCGTGGCAACTTCATTTATCACCTGAGATTGAATTTTCGTATCAATTATTTCAGGTTTATTTTCTTGCAAATCTTCAGATTCAGACTCAGTTTGATTGTTGATAATTTTACATCTCCTATTTCCTCGAGAAAGTTTTGATTTTTTCGCTGGAGATATTGAAACTTGATCACTTAACTCCTTAGAAATATCTTCAGATTTTTCTAAATCTTTGATAAGTGTCTCGCTATTATGTTGATTTTTCGTCTCAATTATTTCAGGTTTACTAAATTGAGACTTGTCTGACTCAGACTCAGTCTGATTGATAGTTAGAGACCTTGATCGAGGAGTTTTTGATTTTCTAGCCGGAGATTTAGAAACTTTAGCATCTACTTCTTGATAAATATCTTCAGATTTTTCTAAATCTTTTTTAACATCAAGTGTTTCGTCAATATTTCCTTTAACAAACTGAGATTGATTTCTCGCCTTAAGAATTTTCGGTTCAACATCAGCTGGTAAATCTTTTAATTTCGATCCATCACCTTGCAATTTATTTTTTGAATCAACAACGTCAAATTTCGTCATCAAACTAAAATCTTCTGATTTTTTAATTTTGTCATTAACCATAAAACCATCTCCAAAATTCTTACCAATTTCACTTTCAGTAGATTTAAACGAGGTGGCGATAAGTTTTGAGATTCTGGAGGACAAATCTTTTTTGGTGAAGCACTCAGTTTGAAGTGGAATCGGCTCAATACTTGGCGGTGGCTTGAAAACATAATTATCGGGAGCAATAAATTTAAATTTACGAGACAAAGGTGTCCCAACAGCTTTACCAGGAGTTTTTGTCTTGTTGTTAACTGGACCTGGAGTTTTTATCTTGCTAGCAGGACCTGGAGTTTTTATTTTACTAGCAGGACCTGGAGATTTTGGAGCGAGAGGTGATTTAGAAACAAGCTCACCTTTAGCTTTCGCGGCTAGTCGCTTCGCAGTAGCACGAGTAATTTTTTTTACCGGTGATGGCTTCTTCGGAGGATTTTTTTTCCCATGGCAGTGCTGCATTGGAGGATCCGCTGACTTGGGAGAGTAAATTTTATGCCGCGTCACGCCGACGACGAAGGCGGGTTTCTTTTTAGTAGCCTCTATTTTTTTTTTAATATTCTTCTGGGCTTTCCAGAGCTCCAGACGCTTTCTACGATCCAAATTACTACCAGCATCTCCAACATCTAGCGTAAATAAAAATTTATTAATTTGAGGTTAGAAAAAAATTATTTTTTAAAATAAGACTAAATTGAAACTTACCTTCCTGGACGTCGGGCACAGCGCGAACTTGGTTAAACTGTTGGGCTCTTTTGTCATTTCTCTCTTGTTGTACTTCTAGAGCACGGCCTAGACGAGCCTCCTTGCTTACAAAAGCTATTTTTTTCCTCTTAAATAAATTTACACGCTCCATAGTTTATTATCAAGCACAATTAAACAGTTTGATGATATTTTATGACAGAAAGTTTCATTCAATATTTTTAAGAATTTTTAAAAACATATGAACGTTTATAAACAAATTTAACTAATTTTATTTACTCTGTTTTTCTTACACAACTGACCACAATCAAAACACGGCGAAGGTTAGTGTGTAACGACTATTTTTGAATTACAAATCCACGCTATTGGGAAATCATCCACTTAAATACGCTACCTGACGGATCAAATGCGAACTACTCTATGCAGGTCGAGTATAAACAGCTAATGTCATATAATATGCCGAAACTGCAGTTGAAATTCGTCGAAATTCTTTTTTAAAATATTGATTAATTAATTATAGTCCATAAACTTAGTTATTATTTAAAATAACATCAATTTTAACGATCAAAAATTTTTAATCATGTAGTTTCCTCCACGAGAAAATAAAAATCAAACTTTCTGCTGCGTGTATGGGTGTAATTGCAAGTCATCTAAAAATTTTTAGAATTTCTTTTATTGAAAAAATTTCACATGTAAAAAATTTTAAAAATTATACGTGCAATTTTGTAAAAATATTTTTTTTGTTCTAATTTAATTAATAAAAAAAATCTAAAATTTTTGAACGTCGGTTAACTTTAATGTCATTAGCAAGTCCAGTAAGAAGTTAGATTTTACACTTTTCCTCCGACCAATTCTAGTTCTGTGGTGATAAAAAATAAGTTTGTTAAAGATGAAGTTATAGACCGTCGATTAGCTTGGATAAAAGCATTAAAAATCTGAAATAAAGTTACACAGTCCAAGAGAGTGTGTTCATTACATTTCACCAAAAATGACTTTATACCAATTAACATATAAATATTTTTGTAATCACAAAAAAAAAAAACAATAATTATAAGCTGTGAATTTTTGAAATACAATGTAATACGACAGATTTAAATTACTTAAGTAACTAAATAAATGTTTTTGTAAAATAAAGAATTGTAATTATAATTGCAATTTTATAACTACAGTAATAAGAATAAGTCGCATGAATAATTCTTAAATAATTAAAAATTTTTATTACTGGGCTGAGTACTTGCAAATTCATGATGCTGAAAGTAACAGATATCTGACAATTTTTTGGATTTTTTAAACAAGCAGATTTTTACAAAAAAAAAAAATAATAGAAAAAATTCACATATAGAAATTTTAAAAAACTAAAAGTGAAACTTTTCTAAATTTTTTGTCCTAATTTATTTCTTTAATAAAATAAAAATTTGACAGGTTGTCTACTGATTTCAGTATCATGCAAATTCACAAATTTCTCGAATTAAAATTTTCATTATTTATTAAATTTCTATTAAAAATTCGATTTAATACAACGTGTAAATACACGATTGAATATGAGAACACGGCTACACGGCAGCTTATTTAAAAATGCGTTTTACAGTAGTAACTGCTTCTGCCGCAAGGAGAAGCCACGCCCCCGGCTGATTTCCCAATAATTTCTATAATTTATTTTCAATGCTACCAACTTTTTTTAGTGCTGTCAAGTTTTCAAGATGGCGGTTTAAGCGCGCAAATTCAAATGCGCCCAGTGCGCTTCAATTGCTTTTACTCTCCCAAGCGTCACATAAAAAACTGTTGACTTTTTGGTAAATTTTATTTAACAAGAAATCAGAAATTAATAATTGTCAACTTAAATTCGACAATATATTACCAAAAAAATTTTTGTGCCGCTTGGGCTGTTATATCAGTTTATCTATCGACTAGGACTTAAAAAAATTTGAAGTACTCAATGATGCACACTAAGTACGTTCCAAAATTGTATTTTTTTTTAATTTTTAAATTTACAACAAAATTTTTTTTAATTTCCGAAAATCATATACAATCATATCGGTTACTTGGATTTTTAACTTCCCGCTAAAAAAATCGAAGATTTTCAAAAATCGGGAAGATTGTTTTCACCCCATTTTACAAAAATCGAGTTTTCATCAGATCTCGACGTTTGAAGGTCACAGGAAGCTTCCCTGACTAACCCCGCGAGGTTGTCACTATGTCTGTATGTATGTGTCTGTGTGTGTAAGTATTATGTGAATCGCTTACAACTTTTGAACGGTTGAACCGATTTCATCGTGGTTGGTGCCATTCGAAAGGGCTTCGCCAAATTTAGATTCCCTGTTAATTTAAATCGATTCAGACCGATAGATTTTGAGAAATTTTGAAAAATCTAAAAAAAAATCATTTTTGAAAGTGGTTTTTTTTTAAATATCTTTTAAACGGCTCGATCGATCAACTTCAAAAACTAATCCGCCCTTAAGCTTTAAAAATCACGCCGATCGGCGCTAATCCGGTCAAAATCGGTTGATTCGTTCGAGAGATACATGAGTAAGGCCTTGTGACGTTGTCAAAACATTTGGCAACGCAGGTAGACTCAAAGATTACGGGGATCACAGAAGAGACAAGTAACAAATGAACGAGACAGATACAGGGATAACTAAATATTATAGCTCAACAGGCCTTACGGCTACACCTCCCCGCATGGGCCCCGCTGGGCAACTGGTCGGATTGTCATTATATTACCAGCCAGGCCAACGTAGTCGTTGAATGGAGTTGTATAGGGGAGGTTTGATACAGTGAACAATTACGAGGACAGATTGACATTAAATTAAATACAACTCCATTCACATTCTGTCCAGTGATAGCGTAAAAGCTGGAGGGCAGGGTTTTCCCTTGCCCGGCGAGTTGACGGTGCTTTTGTTTGGTGAGATTTGGGCTTTATTTTACGTGCGTGTATAGCTTTTTTAAGCCCAGGAAACGGCCTGTTCGAAAGGAGGCAGACGAAAGTCTCACCAAATAACTCGTTCGAGAGATAAAGTGAACGAAAGAAAACCGAAAAAAGTGTTTTTTTCACATAACTTCGTCATTTCTTCTCGGATCATTTTTGTTGACATAGAATAATTTTTAGAGCTCAAAAAACCGCGTTGATCGCCGTCAAGAACGTAATAATCGGTTGATTGGTTCGAGAGATATCCTCGACGAAATATTTGGAAATAAGGATTTTTTCAACATAACTCCGTCATTATTTGGAATTACTTTCAAACAGCTCTACCGATCGATTCCAAAAACTAATCAGCTCTTACCATCAAAAAACCACGTCGATTGCCACCAAGCTGGTTAAAATCGGTTGATTCGTTCGAGAAATATCGTGAACGAATGAAAACCGAAAAAAGTGTTTTTTTGGGATTACTCCGAAATTTTCGGTTCGATCATTAATTAAAACCTGAAAATAACTTATGAGGATGATAAAACTGCGTCGAATGGCGCCAACCGCGAGAAAATTGGTTGATCCATTCAAAAGTTATTGCGGTTTGAAAATTCCAAAAATACAGCTACTAATGCTCGGCCAAGTATCGGCGTTTTGTATCGGCCTAGCCTCGGTAAACCATCGGCTTTAATGTTTAGTTAAGCATTGGCGATTTGTACTGGCCTAGTCTAGGTAAGCCATCGGCTACCCTGACAGCCATCCAATTGTAAAAGTTAACGTTAAGTTGCAGTCCAACTTTTATACAATCTAGGGCCGAAATTTGACTTTAACTTTTATCAAAATGTTTTAGTAAAAGTCTTAATGTGAAGTTTTAGTGAAGTTGGACAAAATGAATGAAAACACTCATTGATATGGCAGTTTATCAGAATTTGTCTCTTTTTTACATCGGTAGGTAATTTATCGGTAAAAAAACGAAGCACAGTAAAAATTTTTAACTACTGCTGTGACAAAAAAACTAATATTTTAGTGTTAAACCGGGGACTCGAACCCGAATCGCCTGGTTCCAAGCCAAGCTCACTATCAGATGAGCTATCTTCGACTCATACCATCAAAGCGTTTTCAGTTACTTATATCTGACACAATATTTTTATAATGTAAAAAATGTAAAATTTTATTTGCAATTATGAATATAAAGTGAGTGAATTGAATTAATTTAATAGTTTTTTGTTTTTAGCTATGACATTGAAGTTAGTAATTACTTGACTATTTTGTAATTTTTTTTTAACAAATAAATTAATTCCAAAAAATTATTTATAAAAAATTACATTTTTTATTATTATAAATTTCTACATGTCAATTTTTTTTTTTTTCTAATTCTTTTTTACCATAATTTACTTGTTAAAAAAAATTCTTAAAATTATCAAATGTCAGCTAAATTAATTTTCATTTTTTTGCTTCAAAAATGTATAAAAGTGTTTCAATAATTTATTAATAAAAATAAATATCTGAAATTATGTGATGTTTAATTTTCTTGAATATAGAAATACTCTGAAATCTTTGATAAATTTATTTACAAAGCATTAAAATTTTTTTTTATCGTCCTATTATTTTTCATTAATTTTTTATAAGAATTCTTACGAAAAATAAGAAATCACTTAAGTGATTGACAATTAACCTGCAAAAAACTTTTTTAAATCATGGTTTGCTAATCAACTTAAAGGTCCGAATAAATATAACTTAAAGTAACATTAATATTTCTATGAATTTTAAAGTAATTTTTTTTTTAAATATCATTCTAACTTAACAATAACTTTTTTTATAGATAAAAAGTATGAAAATTAAATTAGCCGACATCTGAAAATTTTTATAATTATTTTTATTAAAAAAATTGTTACTATAAAATAAAAAGAAAAAATTTCACATGTAGGAAATTTGAAAAATTATGAATGCAATTTTTTTAAATTATTTTTTTACTTGCAATTTGATTGTTAAAAAAAATAGAAAAATTTTTAAACGTCGGCTAACATTAGTATCATATTAAAAGTTGTTTAAAACTTGGATTGAAATTGCGGCAGTAGATTAACGTCAAGTTACTATACAACTTCAACACAAATTGTATATAACTTTTACTGTACAAGTTTTGGAGTGAACTTAACGTTAACTTTGACTAAACTTGCTATTCTACAAGTATTTTTATAGTAAGTGTGGCTATCAGGGTACCGCACGATATTTATCTACAGATTCGGTAGAATCTGGCGCCAAGTTCCGTTCAAAAATCCCGTTGCAAACGGAGCGCCAGACTACCGAATGTATTTACAGTAAGCAGAACGGTTTTTTGAGGTTGTATAATTTTATTTAATTATACGGTACTTTTTTTCACTAATTTGTATATTATAACAGTGGGTCATAATTAATTTTACCGTATTAATTAATTTATATTCACTTATAACAATTTATTCACTTAAAATTATTAAATTTTATCAGCACAAACTATAGTAAGCCCAGAAATTTCGATCCTGACTTTTTTTCGGCTCTCTTAAGTTGGCGGGGGGAAATCAATATTTTTAACTTTTTTATTGCCAAATCGTTTGTTCGTCGTTTGTTCGTGATTGTTCGATTAATTTTATTGTTTGTTCGTTGTTCATTTTTTTATAAATAATTTTCAAAATTTTGACCTAAACCTAGCCCTCAATATGATGGTATCTGCGGTTTTTTTTTTTTCTATCAATCCTAACTAGATATTGTTTGTTCGATCAAAATAAACGTTTGTTCGATCGTACTTTTTTTTATAATCAATTTTTTATTGTAATTACACCCACGCAGCTGCAAATGTTTAAAAAAATCCGACTGCGCATGCGCGAACTTCCAAGTGATTGTGCGGTCTATTTAAATCTAAATTCAAGTATTATTAATAAAAATAATAATAACAATAATTCTTATTCCGATGAAAAAAGCTTTTATCTAATCATAAATACCTAATTAGACAAAAACTTTTTTCATCGGGATTGTTATTATCTCTATCAATTAATATTATTTTAAAGATATAACTGCCTCTTTCTCATCTCCTGTCATCAGGTAATGCGGGTTCGCCTTTAATAACTTGAAATAAATTAGTGTGGCACAAATTTTGTGTCGTGGCCATTTGCTTTATGGGGGGTTGAAGTATTTTTATCCTCCATAATTTGCATAATTACTAATATTAGGACTGTACAATTTGGCCGGTTAGGCCGGCTAAAAAAGTTAGCTAAGTTAATTAGCCCGTTAGCTGGCCGGCTTAGCTAAGTTAACCGATTAGCCGAATTAGCTTAGCTAATTAGCCAACGGCTTAACCGGTTAACCTAGGTTAACTTAGCTAATTAGCCAACTGGTAAACCGGCTAAATAACTAATTTTTTAAATGCTTTTTGTTGCATACTGAGGTGCGTATACGTATTGAAATAAATGTTAACCTCGTTTTTTGGGAAAAAAATCATGAACAAGAGAAAAAACGAGAGTAAAGTAAGTTAATGACCTATGAATGAATAAATTTTTTTTTTTTAAATTGAAAACAGCAATAGAATAATTTATTAAGTATAATTATTAATTTAGTATTTGAAACATTTTTTAGTTACAGTGAGCTATTAATTAATTTCTAAATTTACTATCAGTAAGATCTCTATTTTGATAAAGAAAAATTAATAAGTTCGCATTTTCTGGTAATAAGCAGTTTCTCTTTGCACTAATGATGTTTCCGGCAGTAGAAAAAACTCTTTCCGATGATGTGCTCGATGCAGGAACTGCTAAAAATCGTCGAGCAAGTCTAGCTAGTGAAGGATATTTATGCTGTTTTATATTCCACCACTGAAGAGGATTATCACTTCGAGGAATGTTCGGCTCGTTCTTGTAGTTTTCAATCCGAACAAAAACAGTTTCACTGTAAAAAAATCGCGCCAAGTCCACGTTCATAAGACTATTAAGAAAAAAAATTAGTTTTTTTCTTTACAAAAAGATATAAAATAAAAAAATTAAAAAATCCAAGTAACCGATATGATTGTTTATGATTTTCGGAAATTAAAAAAAATTTTGATGTAAATTTAAAAATTAAAAAAACAATTTTGGAACGTATTTAGTGTGCGTGGTTGCAAAATATTTTACTTTTAACTAAATTCGTAAAATCTATTTACTAGGACTTAAAAAAAAT